TGATTGTTCTTATTTCCACCTTTAACCCACTAGGTGCTACCAATTCCTGTGATTTTTTTTTTTTTTTAGAAACTTTAGTGAAATATAATTGCTTTCTGACTTTTTCTTACTGCAAGTTTCTAATTCAGAGTGCTCAAGGCCTCACTGTTGGCCTGGGGGGGGGGGTAAGTCTCAGTGCTATATGACCTGACTTTGATCCCCAGCCAGGGAGCTGACCCACCTGGTGCAGCAAACCTCTCCTGTCTCCCCCAAATGCTAACCTCAGCAGTATATTCCAGTAACCCACATGTTCTACTCCACACTCTGTCTCTGGTGAATCCTCTCACCCGAATACCTCTGGCCTACACCCCAGGTCTTCTATATGTAAATAAATAAGTCCTTAAAAAACTAAAGTAAAATATTTCAATGTGCTCAGGTCAGCTAAGTTAGTTATCTATTGGCCTTCTGCCATTTAACTTCCAAGTTTTGAAACTATCATTTATATCACATTCTCCTCTTATTCCTTGATTTGTGCTCTTTTTTTTTGCATTTTTTAAAAGATTTATTTATTTATGCATACAGAACTGGGGTACAGGCCAGAGGTACAGGGACGCGGTGTGAGGCTTCACCAGAGACAGCGTGGGGAGCAGAACAACAAAGCTGATTTGTGCTTTTTAATAAAATATTTATTGTATTTTAGTGTGGTTTGTAAAGAATGGAATTTCATATTTATGTTGGATCTACCATCTTCATAAATCATAGTGTTATTGCTTTTTTTATCTACTGAGTAATTTCTTTTTGACATTGTTAGATTTGAGATAAATACCATTTTTTAAACCTTTATTTCTGTTGGGAGAGAGTGAGAAATTACCATATCCAATACCTAACCTCAGTCTAAGAGAAAGGTTTGGAGAGATTACTATTTATGTATTATCTATGTTATGTTTAAATGTCTTTAATATGACACAGACCTACTTCCTTAACAACAGTAGAGTTATTTAGTAATCCATTATCTTGGGAACAATAAGTAGGAGTCATATATTACAGACCTCAATACCTTACAGTCATTTTCCAAATCAAAAATGGCAACATTTTTAAACTTTAGATAAGGTAAGAAGGTCCACCAACCATGGACCATACAATATGCTATGTTCGCTTCATTATCTTACCTAATACATGTATGAAATAATTTTTAATTGTTACACAGTACTGAGGTACATTTCACTCTTACTTAAAAAATATGTTTTAAATAAATTTTAACTATTATGCTGTGTTTTATGTATACTATCCAGAGACTCTGAGAAGTTATTTCTCCACATTCATATAGCCAGTAGGTAACAAAGGTAATATTTGAATCCAGTGCCCACTTACTTCAAAAATAATTTCTTTGAAATCAGATATGTAAGTTGGAATTATGGGTCTACATCAAAGCTCCCTAGCAATTCAAGAGAAGTCAAAGAAAGATTACTATTAGAAATTATAAACAGAAAACCATACCATTTATTATTTATGTGTTTGCCATACAATCATTTCATTGAATCCTTATAACATTGATACTTACCAGGTAGATACCTGTAGTTTGAAATTTTACTGTTATTACTCAAATGTATAAAATATTGCTTGCATATATCTAAAATTGATGTATCTTACAATTTCCTTTTCCATGGCACTCTCTCACCCCCCCCCCACTTGCTACCATTTCATAGATGAAGGAAAAATTAACCATCAGTTGGCAGTTAGTTACTTCTGAGTTAAAATGTAGTCAATTTAGACTTTAGGCTGAGATTATTTCTATGTTTGTTATTCTGCCTTCTATTCTTTCCCAATTTTTTGTGCAGTCTCATCATCCTTCATCAATGGATGAATATATATTTACACACTCTTCTCTCTGCTTACTTGTTTCTTCTGAGTTGCTTTTTTTGGACCTTGGCATTTTGGTACCATGTACTGGCATTCACAAAGACATAATTCCCCTTTCTGACCCTGTGGACTTAATACACTAGATCAACTGCCATGGTTCCTTGCCATGTTGTTGGTTAGGAAGGAACATGAACTCGTGGCCCTGTTACTTCAAAAATCAATCTCCTTTATCTCTGCCAACCTAAGTCTTAGTTCTTTTTATTGCTTTCATAGAATAGGCTTCAGTAACTTTTCAGATTCTTTGCCACAATACTGACATGTTTGGAATCCATAGATCTCTCAAAAAAGTCTTTTCCAGTTAGCTTTTTTAGTCCTTGTCTTTACCACTACAAGTCAGACACCTGAATACTCTTTCCTGCCTACTGGCTAGTATTCTTATTTCCTCTACATGGGAAAATACCTATTATATCCTCTTGAATTCTTGTCTCCTCTTATTTTTATAGTATAAATCATTTTAATGATGGTATATAAGAATAAGCTTTATATGTACTGGAATGATCAATTAACAATAAATGCTGCATGAAAAAAGCAAGGTATATACATACAGCAATGTATACTCCAGTGCCATATAAGCAAATGCATATATAAATATGGCAATGCATTAAACATTTCTAGAAGACATGAATCTGGTAATGGATTGCCTTGGAAAAGGAAAACAGATGTCTGGAGGATAACGTTGGAAGAGAAATTTTTCACTTCCTTTTTATATGTTTTAAATTCTCTATCATACAAATAATTTATTCAAAAAAAATAAAAGAGAATTATAAAACATTTATGATTTGGCTTCTTCAGTCCTGCCAGGCTCCATATCATCTGATTCTTGGTCACAAACAGAAAGTACCTCTTTTGGTAAAGCTCTCTCCTTTCTCTGCTTCCCGTTGTGCTGTTCTTAGCTTTGTGTGAACTACAGCGTGCTCCACACTCTGAATTTCTCCTTTCCATTAAAATGGAAAATACTTCAGTAGACAGATTATATGGGTCACAGATATAACAGATGATAATTAAGCTATTTGCTAATTGCCAGAGTAAGATAGAATGGTTCTCATTATCCTTCATCTGACCCCTTTAGCCAAGCCCAGTGTGTATTTTAAAAGGGTCTGTTATATGACAAATACCAGATAATGTAAAAATGTATCTATAGGAAGAAGCTACAACTAATAATTTTAAATGTGTACTCTGATAGAAATTTTTAATTTTCCTAATTTTGCAGTAATTGTTACTGCTCTTCCAACCCCCTAACAAAGATTAAGCATTGTATTTAATCTCCTTAAACCTAATAGAAAATGTGTAGACTTTAGTGTCATATTATTGACAGTTTTGAATTCTGAGCCATCTGTAGGATCTCTGTTTAGAACTTTCTGAACTTTTTAAATTCTTAGATTCAGGTTAGATATTCTTAGGAAGAATACTACATTGGTGATGCTGTACCTTCTCAAGGTATTATATCAAGGGTAAGAGGAAATTGTTAACAGTAGACAAGCAGACCATCATAATTTGATGGAAGGATGATTTTACTTCTAACTCTCCTTGCTTTAATTTTATACTAGTCAGGTAATTTCTAAGTGAGTTGGCACGTAGGTGATATCACTAAATCACCTACATTAAGGTGAAACAATCATTAAGATTGTTTCTACCAATTTGGGAAACTGGCTTTTATTTTTAAATCACAGTATATACTATATATTTATCACCTTTCTAAGTACTTTGTGAATTTCAATTTTTGTAACTTACTAATCAGTTCTATTATTACCCCACTTAAGCATGAGGAAACTGAGGCAAAGAAAAGATAAGTAACTTTACCAGGGCCATACAGCAAATAAAAGGAAATACTTCCAACTGTTTACTGTAAAAGTACATTTAAAAACTGGTGTTCTGGAGCTCTGATCTCTACTCAAAATGATCTTCATTCAGTAGCAACTTCCTACATAAGTGCTCCCAACAATCAGCCCCCCCAACCCCCTCAAACCTGTACCTGGGTCCTGTTACACTATACAATGTTGAGTGTTTGAGGATTTATGGTAAAATCACAAACCATATAGGAGTGTGTAAATTATAAATGCATTTATTTGTATGATTGTTTATTTCATAGATGTCACTTTCCTTAAAAGAATTGTTTTTGCAGCTGTATCTCCATTTAATTCACAAGATTTTTTTTCTAGTCTTCCTTTTAAGATTTTAAGCTTGGAATTAAGGTGATCCAGGTTAAACTTACTATATCACTAGCTACCTTCAGCCACAGTGTTCTCAAACTGAGAATCTAGCACTTTTATCATGGGACTCTGTAAGAATTAAACTAGGTGTTATAAAGGCTAAATAAAAATATCTTGCATGTATTTCACCCTATGTGCACATTTTCTGCTGTTCTTCATGGAATGTTATAAACCCTTTCAATATGAGAGATTGGAAGGGGTTGTTTTGTGGTTCCAAGTAATGGTAACACTTGGAACAGATACACATATTTTATATAATACGGATGTAATAGAAAGAGTGACTTTGAAGTTAGCCTATTTAGGTTCAAATAGCAGAATCTAAAAGTTAACGACTACTTTATAACATAGCTGTGATTACCACTGTGTCTCCAGTTCCTAGCACAGTACCTGAAATTCAGTGAGTACCTGCTAAATATGTGAATAAACATTGAATGAATATGCTGTTTGGAAAATTAATGAAATATAAAACATATTGTGTATTGTCTGTCAGATAGTGGAGTGACAAATATTACATTATTACTTTTACTGACAACTTAAAAAGTATTAAATATGTTTATTCAGAATGTATTAAAAATATGAAAACAAAGAATATAACATTTTCTCTTTTTTTTTCTGGTAGTTAATTCTAGTATTATAAAGGTGGAGGAGAGAAGATCTAAATGAATATGCAATAGATTGATTGAGTCCTAGTCTAAAAATTACCATTCCTCCCGTTGGCTTGTTTCCTATTGTATGTCCTAATGAAACTAGTGACCCTGGTCCTTTGCCAGAGACATGGAGTTTGAAAATGAAATTTTAATCAAATAGCATTAGGAAGATAATTTTGAAAATCAACCTTTAAAGAAATGTGTGTCCATGTTCTTTCTGTTACAGAGCAAAGAAACACTCCCTTATAGGAACTCCTAAAGGCATAGAGCATCTTGAAATTTACTGCCTCCTCTACACTGCTGGGTCTCACAACACTTGTTATGTTTTCATCCGTTTCTCTCCAGAAGGTATGAATTGTGTTTTCTCTCCATAAAATCTTTTCATACTTACGGTTTTCATGTCTGTGAACTTAATTTTTCTTAAGTATAAAAGGCACTAACATGTATAGTCTAAATTCCATATATCTTCAAATGATAAGTTAATACATAGCCTCTAGAACAGTTCTGTTATAAAAATTAACATGTTCATTGTAAAAATATGACAGTACAGAAAAATATAGTAATTTTGCAAGTTTATGGTAACTACTATTTATATTTGTTGTGTATCTTTTTTAATTTAGTGATATATGTGATGTTTAGTGGTGTTTAATGTATGTATATCATCACTGTGATTATGACTAGAAGAAATGGGATATAAAAGGCTCTTTAGCTAGACTGTTTTACTTAGCTACTTATTAGCTAAGCTGTTAAATACTGTGCATATTACCTTTTAATGGTCATATAATATTCCCGCTTAAGGAGATAACAAATTATGTAATTATTTTCTAGTTTTGAATATTTGGGATGTTTTTAGTTATTCTCCTTGGTTAAGATTACTTCAGTAAAAAGCTCATTATTCATGTCTAATTATTTTTTGACAATTTTTAGAAAACATCCAAAACTGAGTGTTACAAAATCTTAGTTCCTAAGTATGTTCTCTGGTAAAAGGTTTCCAAGGCACATAATAGAAGAAAACGCCGTCTATTATTCATCTTTATTCTTTGTCTATACTAGTATAATGAGACCTTAGAAATCAAACTTATTTGACTGTAGTCCTTCCTAAAATAATATCAGAGTGATGTTGGGGAGGTTGGTTATTTGTAGGTGCAAGGGGAAAAGAGTAATCTCTTTACTTTCTGTTCATTTTTGCTGTTAACCTAAGAAGTAAAATTTATTTAATAAAAAGCAAAAAAATTTTTTGAGGGGAAAGGATTTGTAAATGCCATTGTATAAATTTACATTTTAAATTAAATTTAAACTTATACAAAAACATTTAGAGAAAAATAACATCTTTCAATATTCCACTGAGCACTAGAAAATGCTAGCGTATGATATATTCTTATGGAATTGGTGCATTAGAAGAGTAAATATATTAAAGGTTCTACCAATGTGTGTTTCCAGCTGCAGTGTATGAGAGTGTCATTTTCATCATCTACAGTTTGTTTTGTCATTTGGATTTAACTGTTTTCCTTTTTAAATAAATCTGAAATGAGAAAAGAGGGTGGCACTTCAATTTTCATTTATTTTATCACTAATGAGATGAATGAATATCTTTTGATATTTTTATCTGACTTTTATGTTTCTTTTATGATTCTCCCATTTGTGTTCCACTCCAAATTTTTCATGGGGTATTTGATGTTTTTTCTTGATTGGTAAGAATCAGGACTCATATTCAGAATATTAACTCTATAAATCACATATGATGCAATTACATTTTCCTGTTTCTTACACTTTTTAGTTTTTTGTTAGGTTGGTTTTCTTTGTTTTAAATGCTCGTTTTGGCAATATAAAGTTAACGTTTTTGTGAGGTTCAAACTGTAGATGATGAAAAAAAACTATAGATGACTCAAAAGTATAGGATCACACCTCTTCATATTTATATATGCTCACACTCAAAACCTTCCACTAAAGCACCCATTGTCCTGTTTGGTTCCCTCTACACTTGGCTGTTCCCATAACTCCTTCTAGTAGCCTCAATTCTACAGTCGGACTTGTAGGGTTAAATACTGGCTTGGTTCTATCTGATCCTTTGTTTTGTTTCTCTACATTCTACATGTAGTGAAATCATTCAGTACTTGTCTTTCTCGTTCTGACCGATTTTGCTTAATATTAACATCTCCAGTTCCATCCATGTTGTCATAAATGGTTACAAGTTCATCTATCTTTTTTTTTTAATAGCTGAGTAGTTTTTTAGTTTAAAGGATATTTTACTGCTGCTGTAGTATATCTTGCTAAAATCATTTCTTTTTACTACAGCTCACTTATATTTATACTAAGTACTTGAGACTGAAACAGTAATTGCTGGGCCCTCCCTGTTGGCACAAGGGGCTAGAGTGCAGCACTATGAAGCTGTCCACAGCCACTGCAGTATGTGTTCTGTTAGTACCCTGCTGGGAGGTGACCCATGTGACATGGCAGACCTCTTCTGTTCAGCCCCCTGATCCCTGGGCAATGTGTTTCAGTTGATCTGCCTATTCTGCTTCCCAATCTGTCTCAAGTGAATCCTCTCACCACCACCCCACTTCGGGCCTGTACCCCAGTTCTTGTATGCATAAATAAATAAATCTTTAAAACAACAACAATAATTGCTCATTAAAAAATTATACATCAGTATGACCCATAGTATTCTTTTGTTACTAAAGTTATATCATTACGTATAAGCCTTGGTTTCTTTTCTTCTAATTTTATACTTCCTTAGAAGTTATAATTCTCCTTGTACTTGAATATAAATTTCATTTTTCTGTCTTCAGAAGTTACTCTCCTAAATTGTGAATTGTGCTGTATATTAACATAAACTTTCCTGAGGTTTTTAATGAACCTTCACATATGCCTCTTAAGAAATATAACAGGCTAGTTTTTCGTAAATCCTTGGATTAAATAGAATATAAAAGCTAATGTGTTATGTATGGCTATATCTGATTAATTTTTAAGGTATCAGTTTAGATAAAAAGGCAGTACCTTTTTAGGATCTTTGGGGATTCATACTAAATTTAATGGCTCATACAAGAGCTTAAGTTAGAAGAATATCCCATGATTACAGAAAGAGTACAGAGACCTTCAGGTGTGTTTCTTATTCAAAGAGGAAGGGCACCAAGATAAAGTTAATCTTAACTAGAAATAGAATTGTCAATACATATAAAAAGTAGAGAAAAATAAGTCTGAACCGTAGTCATAGCTAGGTAAAGTCATTAAGATTTTATTGTAAAAACAAACTTTTGAGTTAATATCTCATCACTTCCTTTTATGAATTAGAAAGCAAACGGAGAGCTTAACTCAGGTTTGTCAAAGTCACACAAATATCTTTTCCAGTTTTCTTGGAAGACATGTAAGAAGTAAATAAAAGGCTCTCAAAGGTATTGTTATTAGTAGTAATGATTAACAGTTGAGTGCTTATATATCAGACAATTTATAAATACTTTAAATCACTTGTTGGATTAACCCTCACAATTTGTTCTTCTAGTTAAGAGATATTATTATCCCCTCTATCAAGGAAAGGAAGCTGACTGTAACCTAAGCAATTTGAGACACAACTCTCCCTCTTGACTGCTATACTTGAGAGGAGACCCATGCATGTTATAATAAGTAAGAAATTTTATTTCATTATCTACTAAAGCAGACAAAGTTACTAAAAAAAAATAGACAATTTCAATGGTCAATCCCAGAGAAAAGGCAACAGTAAAAATTTGGGCAGAATAGGTGACAAGAAATACTATTTTTTCATATATAAGGGTTAAAAAAAATTGAAAGGTCTAATTTTAAAAATCTGTTGCATGATTGATTCTAGTTTATTCCTTGATTTTTTTCCTTCAGATGTAGTGGGTTTTCTGTTCCCTTTATGAGCTTTACATATCCAGTTCACAGATTATGCAATATAGTACTTAAACATTTTTGTTATTAAAAATTTTTATAATAAAGAAAGCAACGCTCAAAAGAAATTGGCTGTTGTTCTAGGCTTGAATGCATTGAAATTATGAAAGAAGAAAGGATTTTCAAAACTGAGTTTTCAAGTTTCATTCTAAATAGCAATCATAATTTTAGCTTGAGGCTTTTGGGGGGATTGTGAATAATGACTAAGTGAGATTATAGGCCCAAGGCAAAGCCTTAGGATATTAGTGCTCCTAGGTAGTTGGAGTTTTTACCCTCAAAAAAAGTGGTTTTTAGGTTATAGAATATTGTTTGAAATCAAGCTTGAGTTTGTCACTTTATTCCAAGGATTATCAGAGGACTAAAGTTTAAATGGTAAGCTAAATATTTACCAAAACAAAAACCTTTGGTAGTCTTTTCATTTACAGTTACTTTATTATTTTTACTGCTTTGGGGGATGTATTCTTTTTTATCTACAAATGGAATTATGTATAAAGGAATTGTAACCCCCCAAAAGTAATAATGCCAATATTGAAAATTGCATTCAACTGCATAAAAAACTATTCAAAAGAAATAGGGTAGTTTTTTTTTTAAATAATAACAAATTCCACCTTTCATTTGTATTAGATTTTCATGAAATTTTGTTTTAAGAGAATTCTGATGTGTTATTCTATGCTAAAATATATTCTTCTAGCCTTAATCTTATACAAAATTATGAACTAGTTCTTTTGGATATTTTGAAGGCCCTGAGGTCTTGAACTCATGGTTAATAATGTATTTTTTAGTTAGCAAAGCCCATTTCCTTTTGTCTCTATAGCTAGTTGCTCTAATTCTTCCTTAAAATCTTTGTAATTTAAGTAATTCAAGTGAACCCCATTTAAAAGAGAGAGAGAGAGACTTATGTAAGAGTTAGTAAAAGGGAGGTAATTAACAAATACATTTGCTTTAATATGCCCAGTTTATGGAATGATAGTAGTATAGTATCACCTAATAAAATGAAGAATAACTGGACTCAAATGGAGATTATTGTACATGCCAGTCAGTATCCTAACTCACATTCTAACTCATTTTTACATTATCATCCTTTTTTTTTAAATCAAGGAATTGAGTCCATAGAGATTAAATACTATTGGTAAATCCATGTTCAGAAAATTGAACCAGGACTTGAAAAAGTTAAGTAGGAAATTCTGTTCTACAGGGCCACATATCACTACGCAGAAGGCTTTTGCTGCAGGTATAGTAGCAAACAAGGTAGTTTAATAAAATTAGGTAGTCCTAATTATATTAAACACAAAAATATACAGTCATCTTACTTCCGAAGCATAAAATTCAGGAACTCAGAATATCAAAGAAGTAGGTAAAGGATCTCTGAAGAAAGGGCACTTTTGTTAAGATGTGAGGGATGAGTAGAATTCACAAGGTCAGATGGAATTGGGGAGTACAGT